AGCATGTACTTGTTGAACATTTTTGTGTGAAACTGCTCTATATTTCTTGAAGTTGTGCTCAGTCCTCCACACTGACGGCCCAGTATCCTGCTGTGCTGTAATGGTGTCAATAAACCACAGTGTACTGCTCCATACGTTTAGCCAACAGCAATAACTTCACTGATCAATAAGATATCATAACAGATTTTATACAGGAGAACATCACATTTGGAGACAAAAGAGAAGACGCATGTAGGTGGCTCTTTAGTCTGCATGAAAGGCTTAGAAAATGTAATGGAAAGTAAGTGTGGAGCAGTAAATTAGTGTCAGTGCTATAAGATCTCTTTTCTCTTTTCTGGTAGAGCTTGTGATAGCTCTAAAGCTTTAGAGGGACAAGAAGGAAAACTACCATTTGATCTAACTGAACAGAAACAATTTTAGAATGCTTCACATTTACTTTTTTCTCTTAGCTATCACTTTGCTGCCTATAGTGGAGCAAGTGACAAGTCTTAAGGAAAATAATTGGTGGAGGAAATCGAAGAGAAAAAGAACTGTTCTGGTTTATGTTTACTTTCATTTTTTCTTTCCATTTTCATCTTTAATTACCTCTACACAGCACGACAGATACACTTCTCATTGCACTAGTCCATCAGGTACAGTGTCAATACATGGGGACTTATGACCATTCTCTTCTCATCAGAGACATTCCAGTTTGCCCCACCAAGCACCCATTAAGCAGTCTTCTCTGCAAGTGCCCCCTGAACCGCACCATGTCGTTTCTGTAGCTTTAAGGCTGTGCTGTCTGATTCAGTAGACACCCAACCACCTATGGCTGGTGTCTCCTGCATTAGACAGCACAAATGTATAGTCTTCATTATCGCGGACAATTCTTTCGAACAGCTTCGCTTTAAGAGAACCCCAGGGAAATGTACTGAAGTAGAGTACCCTTGCAGACATCACTCAAGCTTTCTCTGTCCAAGAATCCCTTTCTGGGAATCATTTTGCCCTCTCTCCTGTTCACTCTTACAGGTCCCAAGTTCAGTTCAGTTCAGTTCAGTCGCTCAGTCGTGTCCGACTCTTTGCAACCCCATGGACTGCAGCATGCTAGGCCTCCCTGTCCATCACCAGCCCCCAGAGCTTGCTCAAACTCATGTCCATCGAGTCGGTGATGCCATCCAACCATCTCATCCTCTCTTGTCCCCTTCTTCTCCTGCTTTCAATCTTTCTCAGCATCAGGGTCTTTTCCAATGAGACAGTTCTTCACATCGGTGGCCAAAGTATTGGAGTTTCAGCTTCAGCATCAGTCTTTCCAATGAATATTCAGGACTGGTTTCCTTCAGGATTGACTGGCTGGATCTCCTTGCAGTCCAAGGGACTCTCAAGAGTCTTCTCCAATACTGCAGTTCAAAAGCAGCAATTTTTTGGCGCTCAGCTTTCTTTATGGTCCAACTCTCACATCCACACATGACTACTGGACAAACCATAGCTTTGACTATATGGACCTTTGTTGGCAAAGTAATGTCTCTGCTTTTCAATATGCTGTCTAGGTTGGTCATAGCTTTTCTTCCAAGGAGCAAGCATCATTTGATTTTATGGCTACAGTCACCATCTGCAGTGATTTTGCGTCCCCCAAAAGAAAATCTGCCACTGCTTCCACTTTCCCCTTCTATTTGCCATGAAGTGATGGGACTGGATGCCATGTTCTTAGCTTTTTAATGTTGAGTTTCAAGCCAACTGGGATAGTTTACCTTATTTAAGTAGAGTTAGTGACACTCTACCTTTTTTGGGATTTATGGAGTTGGGACCTAGAAATTTGGCACAATCTATAAAGCCTGGGATTTCTCGGGGGTTATGTTTTCCATCATTGGGAAAAAGTTAGCCTGTGGTGAGCAAGCAAAAAATGAGCGTGTAGAACAGTTAGAGATAAGAAGCAGAAAATATAGTGTTAGCATTTAGGTTCCCAAGATTGCTAAAGCTGAGGCCCAGCTTTATTTCTATGCTTATATCTTTGTAATTAGCTTTCTATTTTACTTAAGCTACTTCAAGTTGAGTTGCTTTCACTGGAAAAGTTGTCAGGGTAAATAACTAATATTATAGTTGTTTCCACAACATTATGATTCATGAAAGAAATGCAATATTAATGGTTTTAACTAGATTTTCATTAGATCCTTATATCCAGCTACATCCTCTCAGATAATTGCAACTGCTAATAAAACTTAAAGTCCAAAAGTATGTCTCTTACTCAAACACTCAAAATTCCTGGACAACATAATTAACACATTAAATTTTCCAAAATATAATTTTGGTATAGGTATTTGTTAAGACTCCATTTTTATATAGGTAATACATAATACTAGAATTAAGCATCTATTTAATTATATATACTAGAATAAAATATATTACTAGATATATTTTTTCCATTCTTTTAATGGATTTGATTTTTTTCAGTTGGATAGCTTAAATAAAGGAAGTTTCCACCTTGAAAAATCATTGGTTCTTAGAAGTACAGTGGGAACTTTTGTAACTTGGAACATACTCTCCATCAAGATAGTATTTTTATTAACAGTGGTAGATTGTTTTGTTGGCACATGAAAACGCCTTAACTAATATAGGTACAATTACCTTTCATTTCCTCTTTGAGGTGTTCTTTCTACATGATTCACCTTCATGCTTTCATCTACTGATGTTTCAGCCATACCACTGGATAATTAAGCATTGTGGCCTCCCATAAGACAAACTATCATCTTAAATCATGTGCATGAAATATTGAGTGGAAGCTTAAGATACCAAAAACATATTTCCATTTCCTAGTCAAAAGAAAAGGAGTTACTTTTCCCATCTCAGCCCCAAGTGTCTCTCCACAACATATGATAGGGAAATTGGGTAAGTGCTTGCGCTACATGTTTGGAAACTATTCTTCAAATAATTCATTAATAAGGAAGAATGAAGAATTTAAAATGAGCATTTTTAAAACATCCCCTACAATGTAAAGGTGTATACACTAAAGACTACTTAGAAGCATATGGTCAAAATTAGAAAAATGTCTTGTCATTGGGTAAGATGTGTGATGGATAAAATTAGAAATATTTAAATTATAAATAATTGACATTCCCCAAATTAAATGTATCAAACCGTGGCATACTGTAGGAGTTATCTAAGAAGTTAAAGCTCAGTTCCAAGTGGCTGCTAAGCAAAGTCGGACAGCATATGAGGGCTTCCCTGGTGGTTCGGTGGTAAGGAATCTGCCTGCCAATGCAAGAGACATGGGTTTGATCCACAGTCTGGGGAGGATCCCACATGCTGCCGAGCAACTAGCTCACGTGTCACAACGATTGAGCCTGTGCTCTGGAGCCAGGGAGCTGCACCTGCTGGGCACGTGAGGCACAACTGCTGAAGCTCACACAGCCTGGAGCCCACGCGCGACAAGAGAAGCCCAGGCACTGCCGCCAGGGAGTGGGCCTCGCTTACTGCAACTAGAGAAAGCCTGCACGGCAGTGTGGACCAGCGCAGCTAAACATAAATGAATAAAATGACATAGAAAAGAAGCCACATGAGACACTGGAAAGTTCAGTCATACGATATTGTCCAGCAGTAATGACAAAAATGTCCCAACTCATATTTGTAGAGCACTTAAGAAAAAAAAAAAGGCAACGTTGGTGAGGAGAATTAATTATGCATTCTAATCTGAGGGGAAATGTCATCAATGTTGAGTAGCCTTGGCCTAAATTCCCAGATTTGACACATTTGAAGCTCACATTCACCACAACACACAAATTAATTTTCTGAGAAACTGTGATATTAACCTGAGTTATGGGAGCTCACATAACTTGGATCCATATATATTATTAACTTGTGTAGTGGTAATGAAATAATGATTTTTTTTTCTGGCTTTCAATATGAAATTCTTAAAAAGACTGAGCAATTGGATTACTCAGAGCCAGCCAGAAACCACAAATCCAGAACTGTGGTTTCTAGTTCAAACCGGTACCTTGGAATTCAAGACTGTTTTAAGGGAAGCTGCCTGGAGAAAATAACTTGGGCAGTATACATATTTTATCTGAATCTCACAGATACCTATGGTAAACACACACACACACACACAAATCTTTCCTAAAATATAGACATTTTAGTATTTACTGGTAGAAGAGCATTTTGTTTGATCCGTCAGTAACAAGACTTTCTTGTAGCTAACTTTTAGCATAATGCTAGTTTGATAAATATTCACTGGACTAAGCAAAATGGTAAAAAAAATGAATGTTTACTGAACATAAACTGTGACTGAGGAAGAGATCACACAAATGTAATGAAAGACAATTTCTGCTCTAGATTTACAGTCCAATCTCAATTACATAAGTGCAAAATTTTCTTTATATCAGTCCCCAGTATAGCTCTTTTGCATTAGGAGTTAGCATTTTTCTGTGAGGAGAATCACCAACTCTCTGTGCTTCAATGTCGTTTAAGCTCTTCCTCGTCCAGATCCTCAAAGTACCAAATGAAGTTGAAAGTTGGGTGAATGTTGAGTGGTTCAAGTACCTCAGGTCCAAATTAATCTACCAGCTGTTCTGTGGTCAACAGTGACCTGTGTTCATAATGCCCATTGGGTTGCCGGTTTAAAGAACTTGCACGTGACTTGCTTTTTCAGGCCCTTTGTCACAACGTCTGTCTTACCTCTACTTTTGTTGTGACCTCAAGTGTGCAGAGACAGATGCCGAGGCATACTTCCCAGGGGAAAACCCAAGCTGAGGTTGATGGCAAGAACTGATCAGGTTGATCAGGAACCTAAGGGGCGAAGTGCACGCTAACACGTTGCGTGTGTTGGTGTGTGAGTGTGTGAGTGTGAGAGAGAGACTGGGAGGAAGAGGCAGGGAGAGGGAGACAGAAGCGGCTGTCCTCAGGATCCCTTTCTCTGCCAGCTAGCTGCCTCTCACCCTCAGCGGAGATCTGAGGCGAGTATTTGACTGATGCAGGCAAAGCAAAACCCAAACAAGCAGGCTTTCGGATGACCAGATCTCAGGGAGTCATCACCGGGTGGCTGGGGATCCCGGAGGCCGGAGGACAGCTGAGACCTGTCCATGGTGCTGACAGCAGCCCTCGCGCGCCCCTCGGTGGACTCCAGCTGCCGCCCGCCAGCGGGGAGCGGACGTCTCGGCGCCGGGCTCCTGCGGCCGAGAGGCCCCGGGGCTGGTCTCGGGTGCGGGACTCCCGGGGGCCCTCCGTACCCCGCTCCTGGTCCGAACCCCGGCGCTAGACGCTGCGGGGGCGGCGGGGCGGCGGCGGGGCGCGTCACGTGCCGGCGGCGGCGGCGGCGGCGGCGGCGGGGCGGCCCGGGAAGCGTCCATTTCCTCGGCGCGCCCGCGGCGCCCGGGCCCCTCCTTCGCCCCGCCCGCGCCTCGCCCCTCCCGGCCGCGCAGCCCCGCGCCTGCGGGCCCGGCCCCGCCCCGCCCCGCGCGCCGGCGGCCCCGGCGCGTCCTCCGCCCGCGCGCCCCGCTCGCCGCCCCCGGCCGCGCACTTGGTGCGGTCCAGGGCGAGCGCATCATGGCGATTGAAGGTAAGTGGAGGCCGTCCACGGTTGGGGCGGAGGGCGGGGGGGGGGGGCGCCCAGGTAGCTGGAGCTCGGGGGTGCCCGGGAGGCCGCGGCGCCGATGGGGCCCCGAGCGGCTGTGCAGGCTCGAGGGTCCCGGACCGCGTCCCGGGAGGCTGGTGGGCGGAGCGGCGCCGCCAGACTCTATACCTGGTCTCGGCGGTTCCGTCGGCCTCGGCCCGCGGCCCGGCACGAGGAGTCGAGCTGCTCCTGCCGACAGGTACGGCGCCGCCGGGGCCGCTGCTTGCTCCCAGCGGCGCCGACTCTGGGAGGTTGGAGGGGGGGGGGGGCCCTCCGGTGCGGCCCTGCAGACCCGGAGGGACGGGCTAGAGGAGCCCGGGAGCGCAGGGTGTACCCCTCCTTTCATTGACCTCGCCCCAGCAAGCCGCCCTCCCGCGATATTCCCCTTCCTCCCAAACTGCGAGGCCAGTTTGCTGTTCCCAGTCCTAACCCTTCTCAGCCCCTACTCTGGAGCAGATGCTGGACTGCGCTTTCGGTCCATTCCCCTTCCGTGTGCTGTTGTTGTAGGGGACCAGGGAATTTGGAGTGAGGGTAATTTCCTTCTCAAGTATTTTTCTCTCCTAACACTCAAAACTGGTTTTTCTCTAGGAAAGAGATGCAAAGACATTTTTACAAGAAATGCACACTCTTAAAATCCTGCATATATGTCAGTCTATTAAGTGTTACGGTGCCATCCATACTCATATTTTAAAAAAATAGCTTAATTAAAGTTCCTCGATAAGGTAGATAGCTGGCACTAAAGTGTAGTTTTCTTACAGAAACATGTAACTGGCATGAAGTGTCTATATTTTGCTTTGCTTTAAAGGACAATATTGTGAAGATTAACATGATACGTCTAGGATTTATGTGCAAGTCTGCAGCATGTTTGAGTCCCTATCCCACTCTTACCTTACTTCAGACAATGAAAGTGGTTGGTAAAATTTCCCTGTGTGTGTGTGTATGCACCTGTACAAATGTGTAAGGCACCTAGAGCAATGTCAGACCTAGCCTAAATTTTTCGTTTCTCCTAATTACAACTTTTGAAAGCACTTCCCATCTTGGTGGCCAACCCCGAGGCATACAGCTTTGCCTGATCCAAAGTTGGTTTAGTTGTGTGTTTATGTTTATTTTACTTATTTTAAGAGATTGATTACCTATTCAGACAGTTTCAAGTATCTGCTTTAGCTCAGGGGCTTCCTCGACGGCTTGAGTGTTAAAGAATCTGCCTGCCAATGCAGGAGGCACAGGAGACACAAGTTTGATCCCTGGGTGGGGAAGGTCCCCTGGAGAAGGAAATGGCAGCCCATTCCAGTGTTCTTGCCTGGAGAAGCCCATGGACAGAGGAGCCTGCGGGACCACAGTCCATAGGGTAGCAAAGAGTCAGACACCACTGAGGAGACTTGCACTCACCATTTAGGTAAGTGATGGAGAGCACTGGGAATAAGATCCCCCGATAATCTTTGATATTCTTGTTTTCCAGAGCAGTACTTTGAAACTTTATCTTACTATTTACTAGAGGTTAAAAATCAAGAAAGAGAGTATACTGATTTATGTTCTGTATTTTATTTCCCCAACCGCTTTGTGGAAGAATTTCTTGTGACTTGGTAAAGACGAAAAGGCTTATACAGAAGGTGTAGAAGAATTAGCAAGATAGTAACCATGTATGATCCTGTAACTTAAAATTTCTTTTAAAATTTCCAGTTTCCCCCCCTTTTCTCCATTGATTCTTCCCTTCTCCCTCTCATTGTTAAATGTGATCAGTTCCTTTTTTTATGTCAGCGAAGGCATTTTGCTCTGCCTACTGTGAAGTAAAGGTTGCTCAGTTGTGTCCAACTCTTTGCAACTGCATGGACTGTACAGTCCATGGAATTCTCCAGGCCAGAATACTGGAGTGGGGAGCCTTTCCCTTCTCCAGGGGATCTTCCCAACCCAGGGATCGAACCCAGGTCTCCTTCATTGCAGGCAGATTCTTTACCAGCTGAGCCACAGGGAAGCCCAAGAGTACTGGAGTGGGCAGCCTGTCCCGTGTCCACTGGATCTTCCCGGCCCAGGAATCAAACCGGGGTCTCCTGCATCGCACGTGGCTTCTTTACCAGCTGAGCCACGAGGCTCTGCCTACTACTGCTTTTATGTTTAAAGAACAAGATTTTTCAAATTTTCCTGTTGTAGAGATTCTTTTGTGCTTGAGAGACTCTCAATTAATATTTTCATACTTAATAATTTGTTGACGGCTTCATAATATAACTGTCAGGAGTTACGTCTTTTCTAGTTTGGTGAGGAAACTATCATTAATACTAGCATTTCAAATGAAGATGTCAGGTAAGGTGTGCTGTCTATCACATACTAAAGCAGATTGATTGTACCCTCACCCCCTATGCTGTGTCATGAGGTAGAATGAGCTCTGGATGAGGGCCTTACACTAGGGACATCTTAGAATTTTAGGGGCCCACAGGAGCATCTCATCCCATTTCCCAAAGAAGTGGTTCTTAAAATATTCAGTGTCTTCATTCACCTGTTTATTTTGTAGATTTACAGAGCAGTTGATGTGCTTGGCATCCTGTGCTGGACCCTGTGGGGCCACAAAGATGAATAAAATCACATTTCTTCCCTCAAGGAGTACTTATTCTAGTGGGGGAGACAGATAATTTTAACCATGCAATTACAATATAGTGTGAACACCAGGAGATGAATCATCCTTACTTTGTATAAAAATATTCAATGATAATGAGTTCATTGAGCCCGTATGCCAATGAACATTTATGCCGATGTGGAACTATAATTCCTACAGTTCATAAGGTCCTTGTTTTAACCAAAAATCTGCTGTTAGTAACTTCCTTCAATCCACTCACCCTAGGTCTGCTTTGTGGAGCAATAAACCCAAAATTCCCTATTCTCTGTATACCTGACCTCACTTATACCATTTTGAGACAACTCCTGAGCATTTTCTTTTCTAGACACAATATTTAACTTTTCCTCTGGATGGTTTGCAGTTGTATGTTTTAAAGTTTGAAATATGGTAGTGTGCCACTCCATTCCAGATGTTTTGTTAAAACTGTTACATCACTCCTTGTGCATAATCTTATTAGTGTAGCTAATTAGAATAGCCATTTTGGAACTTCATGTTGACTCACCATGAAGTTGTAATCAACCAGAATCACAGTCTCTTTTATCTGGACTACTTCCAAGTCACGTGACTTCAGTTGCTTGCCCAGCTAACCAGTGTTTTGATTTAAAGAAGAAATTATTTGTATCTGTTAAGCGTACTCTTTATTAGCCCTGGCCCAACATTTTAACCCTTTAATTCAGACTTTTAAGTACAAACTGTTACTTTTATTTATTCCTTTTTTTCAAAGCCCCTATTTTACAATACCAATTAGTTATTTATTTCTTTCTCTTTATCAATCGGATATCTGCTAATCAGGACTTCAGACAAACATAAGATGATAGTGTTACCACTCTAAGCTAACATAATTCCAGTCAGAGGTTAAGAAGTTAGCCCTATCTTAGGTTAAGGTACAATTTTTTTAAAAGCATATTGAAATATTCAGAATGGTTTATAGAGCCTTATTGTTACCCTAGAGGTCTTGTGGGAGATATCAGATTGGGAATCTTTGGTCTAGCCTAACCTGTCAAGATGTGTAATTGTTATCTGACATATTAACTCTTCTAACATTGGCCTCTGTCAGTCTGACATTGTTGACTATTTCCTGTTTTTTGAAGTTTTTTCTTCCTCTCTTGATTACTTACTTCTCAGCCTTCTCTTTATCTCCCTGATCTAATGTTCTCTTGTTTCCTTTCTCAACCTCATTCTCATACACACACTGCTGTGATTGCACCCTTTGAATCATGTGGAAATCTTTTGTTTGTAAATTTGTCTTCCCAGTCTGACCATAAATGCCTGGAGCATAACATTTATTTGGTTTTTATTCATTAAATTTTGTACAAAACCTGAATATAGTATGTACTCAAGATATTTCTTGAATTGTTGAGAGTTCTGTTGATTATCATAAAGGGTTGCATCCCTTGCCCAGATGTATTTGACCAAATGTCTGCTATTTAGTAACTTATCTATCTACCCCTTCCTAGATTCTGCTTCCTGGAGCAATAAAATAAAAATTCACTATTATTAAATTAAAAGTACACATGGTTTTCCTAATATAATTCCACATAGTGGCTATATATGTTGGATGTCCCACAGCAATCCAAAATGTTTAGCTTGGGACATTCAAAATGTCCTAAACCAAAGTTATCTTCACAGCTACCAAATCCAGCCTCCATACTCCCCACTCCATGCAAATTTACCATCTGAGTAGCATTTTTAAATAACCAGACGTCTGAATTAGAAAGCTGGAAATCAACTCTGTTTTATAATTCACTCTCCACATCCTGTTGATCACTAAGTCCTACCACGCCTGCATCTCAGATTAACCTACAATGTTCAGTGCTTACATTTTAGTTTATTCACTTTTCTCTCATTAAGAGACTTGTATTAGTTTTTTTCCTTGTCTTGTTATCTCCCGTCTTAAGGCTCATCACAATCCATTTTTCAAACTATTGCTAGTTATCTTTGTAAAGGGCAAGTCTGATTTAAAACCTCAAGATAAAGCTAGTCTTTAGTGATCTGACTTGCACCCTTCTTCATCTAGTCCACATTTTTCTGTTTGTTCAATTGGAATATCATTAGACTTCTTGCAGAATGTTTTGCTAAAGTAAAAATATTCACCTTGATTGTTAACTTGCTACACATAGTAACTTTACTTAACCTCTCTTGGTAGCTTTTTAAAAAAAAAAATAATTGTGAAAGAAGGGTGAATTAGAGAATCTGTTGGTACTTTTTATTTACAATGCCTTTTACAGTTTATCACACACTTTCACATTTATTTTCTAAGTCATTAATACAACTCAGATGCCTGTAAAGATTTGTTGTGACTCTTTAAGATTTCCAAGATATAATTTGGGCTTTCAGAAGTCATTGGAAATGTGGAATTAAAAAACCCAATACAGGACTTCCCCTAGTGGTCCAGTGGCTAAGACCCCGTGCTTCCAATGCATGTGTGAAGGTTTGATCCCAGGTCCGGAAACTAGGATCCCACATGCTACGGGGCTTGGTCAGAAAAATAAAAATGAAGAACTAATTAAAACAAAAACAAAAACAATGCAAGCATGTTGTATTCTTAGTCTTGAGGGAGAACATCACACTCCCGCTTTCCATGCTGTTGTTAGAGAGATGTTACAGTGGGTACAGGGGGTGATGTAATTAGGAAGTCTCTGCTATCAGTCTGCGACTAAGTAAGGCAATTTATTGAACAGTCTGTTGTTTGGAAGATTTACAGTCAGTTTAAGTAGTGATGTTCTTGGAAGAGATCC